CCCATCCATCCATCCACCCATCCATCCATCCATCCACCTGTCTACCCTTCCATCCATCCATCCACCATCAGTCCACCCATCCATCCATCCACCCATCCATCCATCCACCCATCCATCCATCCATCCATCCATCATCTATCCACCACCAATCCATCCATCCATCCATCCATCCATCCATCCATCCATCCATCCATCCATCCATCCATGATCTTTTACCCACCAATTCTCTTCAGGGTCACAGGGGTCACTGGTGCACTTATCCAGCAGTCCCAGTGCGAGGGACGGGGTACACCCTGGACAGGTCAAAGTCCATCACAGGGAAATTTAACACATAATTTTTCTGTACAGTAAAGTTGTAATATTTGCTTGTGTGAGTCTGGAACAGGAYCACTGCAGCTCAAACACACAGCAGTGTGGTCGCTGCAGCTCTTTTCCAAATACTGTGACACTCAAGACCTCACAAATCACATAAAACAACGAGGCAATAAGATCATGGTGGCAGACTTCTATTTTTGTCCTTCATAAGTAATGTCCCRGGTAATTTAATTTACAGACACATAATTGAACCTCTGGAAAAGGGTGGGGAGGAGGAAGATGATGTATATTTGAGAGGAGAATTAACTTTAGTAGCACGTGAGTCATTGTATATTAATATAAATSAAATGGAAAGCAAAACTTAGTGGTTTTTCTGATTTATCGGGATAAAAATGTGACTTTTTAAACACAAGAAGCAAACACACACACATCATACGATAATGTCACCTCTAATCGTTTCTCATATATCTCTCCATCTCCTCCATTAGTCCCTCCAAGCAGCTGAGCGGCATGTGTAGCAGAACGAGAGCCGCGGACGACTAAATCAAATCAGTCAGGAGAACTTAATTACAGAAGCAGCTTTGTTCCACTCAGGTCGGCTGCAGGTGCGCCGTCTGGGTCTCCCTGCAGGAATGAGACAAACGCTTCTGCATTCAGCAAACCCAAGACCTCTTAACTAGTCAAGAAGAATGAATCAGCGTCACTGATGGGTAATTAGAGCTGCGAGACGACTCGCTGACACTGGGTGGATGACATTCAAATTATTTCAGTCCACGTGTGCAGAAACAGAAAAGCAGAAACAAACACTGATATATGGTGTCYAAAACTTTAGTCAGTAAAAAGAAGTGGACAAGAGAGTTACACTTTTATCTCAACAATGGTCCTAACGTTTTGGCTCATCAGATGGAGCAGAGAAATGTTGTGTTAAATCATTCTGACACTTTTTCCACACATTTTAAATCCATTTCTTCTGAGTAAATCACAATTTTAAAATATTTACTCCAGTTTAGCAGCATTGCTAATGACTGCAGCGTTTCACAAGCATATAAAATTTTTTCAATTTCTATTTTTTTATAGTTTAGGGTAAAACGCACAAGTAACATATAGTGAAATTTTGTTGAGTTTTAGGCGATGCCCTGGTTTCCAGCAGGACCCACTCAGCCCATTTCTCATCTGAACTCAGGGAGGAGGAGTGTTGCCTGAACGACCTTTTATCTTTACATCTATCATTGAAAATCAGTGAAGAGTAAAAATCCAGCAGTGGAATACACTCTATGTAACAAAAAGAACACATCATCCTCCCCAAGGACCTGCTCACCCTCTGCATGAAGACACAGAGAGAAAGACCCCGTGCACTGTTCACCAACAGCCTGCATGGTGGGCTTTATGATCTCTGCCTTGGTAGGAATGATAAATTTGCGTTCTTAAGGGATAAGATTTTAAAAACATTTATAATTTTAGCACTAGAAATTGTTAAAGTTTAAATAAAAATGAGCATCACATTACATTAAACTGAAACATGAGAGTCGTGCGGTAAGAATCGACTCAAAGGACAAATGAGGAAAAGGGTCATTTTAGCTTTTAAGTCATCACGACGCAAGCTTCCAGCCCCACCCAGTTGTGTGTGTGTGTGTGTGTGTGTGTGTGTGTGTGTGT